TGATAGACTCATATATTTGCACTTTCCATGTATATAATTTCATTCCATTCATTCACATTTAGTATCATTCTGCATCATTTAGGATCCCTTTAGTTCTAATTTAGTTTAGTTCTGCATTATAGGTCCTTAGGTTAGAGTGTACATATTTCTCTTCCTTTACCCTTTTTCAGGTGGTATTTGTGCTTAAATGGAGTCTGACAAGAGCTCGGAGGAGTGGAATGGAGATCAGTGGGGAGCAAAACAGAGGAGTTGCGTAACAACAGAGCAGAATAGAGGAGCAGTGGAGCATAAATCTTTGATCATCAGGACCAGCCGATGAGAAGCGCCCTGAACAATGGAAGGATGGAGTCTCATCAAATACTCTGAAGTTCGTAACTTGAGTCGAGAATCAGGAAGTCAGTGCCCCTCAATCTGTGCATAGACATCCCAGGTTATCCTCTTGTTACGATGGAACATCAAGGCTCTCCAATCTTTGGACTAGAAGCATCGCATGGGCTGAAGAACAAGTGAAGGAACTAATGTCATCTGATATCAGCATGAACCGATGAAGAAGACCGATAAACTGCGCCTACCGAAGGATGATGTCGAGACACGAGACGGGAAGAAACACACAGAACCTGCGCTGGACATCGGTCACTTGTCCGATAAGGAGTGACCGATATTTGATACATTTTGCTGACTTATCCGAGTCGATCGTTGACTTTTATTGGGCCACTCGTTTTTGATCCGGGGCGACCCGAGTACTGTTAGCTTGGGGTATAAATATGTAACTGACCCCAAAAAACCTAGGTTATCTTTTGATTTCCTTTTGCATTTTCTTACGCTTTCTTTTTACGTTTCTAGTTGTAATCGTTGCCTAGATCTTTGATACTTGAAGTTTTAAGTTCGCATCTTTATAAAGTTTGAGTATTTAGCTTAAAGTTTCTATCTTTGCTTGATTTTCGCACTTGTCTTTGCATTTTACAGTTCGCTTTAGCTAGAACTCAGTCATGGCTTTTCCCGTAGCCATGAGTGAGTAGTACACTCATCGAGCGTCGGATTAGTAGATGTAGGGGCCTTGGATCATGGCTGATCGAGCTTTGGCTCAACCCTTTTCGTTTCTCGAGCTTAGGTTGTTGATAAAGCTTGGTTCTTGGCTCCGGCCTTGGACCTTGCCATGAGGCGTTCCGCTGCCCGAAAGGTGTTTGCTGGAATGTCGGACTGACCTTTTGTTCGGCTCATCGACCCTCGGCCATGAAAGTGTTGTTGAGGGAGATGAGTGAGCTTAGTGGAACTTGATCGTAAAGCTCAGAGAGTCCTTAAATCTAGGAGCGAAAGTTAGTTAGATATTTGAACTCAATGAAGTGGTTAGTATCATCACGAAAATGGGATGACATGTATTCGTGTTCCATGCTCAAGAGTTGTGCTTTCATCGAATGTCCTCAGCTTTGTTAGCCACAGTCTATCGCCCTTCGTCAGTTGCTAGTCCGATGTTTGGTGCCTTCCTTTATCTTGCATTTGCTTAAAGTTTATGCCTTTAATCGTTTATTTCTGTTTCGTCTCTGTTTAGATTTCATGGATCCGACCAAACCCTTTATTGATGCTTTAGCTTAACTTCGATTCTCCATGGTGTAGTACTCTAGGTCCTTGTCTTCCTTGTGTTCGAACCCTATGCTTTGTTACGATTGAATCATGAGTAGGTTGTTAGCAAGTTAGGATTTTTATTTGTTTAGAAAGACAAAATCCTTCTCATCAACATGAGGGTTTCCCTATTGAGGTACTTTTACTCCTGGTGCTCGGTTTGCCACTGGAACTAGTTGCAACAATGGCGCCAACAACTCACGCATACTCTGTGTCATAGCATCACTTAACGCCGCATAATCCACCACAGGAGCAGCATTCGCAGGCTGCCGATTTCCACCACGTGCACCAACCCTACGATTAGCTCTCTTTTGCAGCATTTTGTTCACAAAATCACCCAATCAGATCACCATTCGACAATACTATAAGTTCTCATAAAACCTTAGAATTCCGACACTATTTTTGGAGTGGTGCTCCCTCGTTT